CCAAAACTCAGTTTTCTCTTCTCTAGAATGGGGATAATATAAGACAATGCCAAAAAATCATAATTAGCACTTGTAAAGTAAACATGTAAAATGTTTCTTACAGGTCACATAAATCAGTAATCAATAATGGCAGCTATTATTATTTTTAAATGATCATCATGAAAAACTTAATTCTATTGATCAGATATTAGTTCCAAATAACCTAAAACAATCCAAATAACCTGGGTAACAGATAGCTAGATAGAGAAGCCTTTGCACAAACAATGTTCAATATACACTTGAATGCATACTTACATATACACACACATATAGAGTTAATCATTAAAAGCAATGATGATCATTAAAGGAACAATATGGTTGAGATTCTCTTGGAGGGGGGTAATGGCTGAGGCAGTGTTCCTATGAAAATCCTCAAACACTGAGCTTTCTGAGCTGACTGACAAAGTTCTGTATTATGTATGTTTTATGCTCCTTCTATGAATAGGAATGTGGAAACACCTCCTACTAAGTGTGCTCATGGGCATATACTAGAGATTCATTGAGAGACTTAGTTTATCTAACTAATGTTGGTTCAATTGCATTTTCTTTTTCTCTGGAACTATCAATAGTTTTCCTTCCACAGATTGAATACATAAATCAAAAGAACATACTTCACAAACAAACTATGATTATGAAACTCTTATCCTTCATCTATTGATTCTTGACTTTATTTAAACATACTTTTTTCCTTCATTGAATTGCATTAGAACTGCTCTTTTTTTTCTACACTGTTGTAGCTAGAATCATCTGCAGCTCTTTTACTGTCAATGCTTCAAGAAGCCTTCCAAATAGCATAGAAAATGTGAGGAAACCCATTGCTAAATTATTTCCTATGGTTCCATTGTTGAAATATTTCACCAGCTTCAAATTATAGTAGTTAATTTACTGCAATTCAGCATAATTTCTAGAAAAATGACTATACTGATGATTTTTGATATTATTTGTCCTATATAATGTGTAAAACTATGTAAAAGGCAAAGACTATTTTCATTAAAAATGCTGACGTTTTACTTTTCTTTTTTTTTTGTTGTTGTTGTTCTTTTTAAATGTACATGTCAGCAGAGTGTATTTTGACATATTATACATACATGGAGCATAACTTCCCATCCTGTAGCTGTATATGATACATGATGTGGAGTTCCACTGTGGTGTATTCGTATGTGAACTTAGAAAAGTTTTGTCCCATTCATTCTACTGTCCTATTCCCATTCTCTCTCCCTTCCCTTCATTCCCCTTTGTCTAATCCAATGAACTTTTATTCTTCTCTCCCTCATTGTGTGTTAGCAGCTGCACAAAGAGATTCAGGTTTTACTTTTAAAAGTTTGGCAACTAAATACATATACACCCAAAGGTTTTTTCCCCTACTAATCCATAACAAAATGCTGAAACAAAATTATTTTACATAGTATAAAACTTTAAAAAAAGAAAGTTCTCTCAATAACTACAATTGGTGCTGATCCAATATAAAAACTAAGGATTAAAAAAGACTGCTAATATTATCAGTATTCCCCACCTGATAATAAAAAGTATGAATTGATTTTTCCAGTTTTAGTATAAAAATATAACATAAGAAATTTAAGCTTGATATAATTTGAAATAGCCAATATATTAAACTCCAAAGTGAAATTTAAATAGGCAATCATGTCAGATTCAAGTCCCTGAATGAATATTAATTTAAAAACTAATCATTTTCCAACAGGTTTCTGCTTCAAAATGCTAGTTTTGGAAAAAGTGCTGCTAGATCCATCACTATTAAAATATTGGATATTTTTTGTTTGTTTAGGAAACTAGATATCTGATGTTCAGTATGTCTGGCTCTTCCTGACATTTTTTCAGCCCAGATAGTTATTTAAAACCATTTCTTTTTTTCTGATTTGGGGGGAATTAAAATTTCATTTTTATTGCTGGGAAGCTGATACCAAGTGAACTATCTGAGGTATAAGATAAGAGTAGACTCGTTTAATAATCTTATGTAAACTGGTGTTCATAAGTTTAATTCTGATTTCTGGACGATTCCATGAGAAGAGGTGTAGTTTCTCATTGTTTGGTTGGTTGGTTGTTTCTAAACACACATGAAAGCACACTATATAAATTCATCAACTATGGTGGCAGGGGTGGGGAAACACATACACATGTTAAGTATGGAATTGCAACTGGATACTTGACAAAATCAGGTCATTATTTACAGGTTCTACCCTACACCTCATGTGACAGAAGTCCTTAATCCCCATATTAAACAGTTTGGAGACATTACATCATAATGCAATAGTAGGTTACATTTTATTTTAAACCTTTTTTTTCTGAAAATGATCTTTCAACTATGTAATAAAAACTATGTCTCTATCCTGCTCATAAAACCCAATCCCAAATTGTTTTTGTAGAAATACTAGGTGGCATGGGAAAGAAGAAAAAAAGCAGGAGCCTGATCATTAATTACGGCAGCTGGCTCTGTCATTCACTCATCTCAGCAACTTTCCACATTCCAAGTACTTGTGCATCATGGAACACTTCTCTTCATGCGGGCCTTCATTTTGTTGACCTAGTACAATCCTCTCATTACAAAAATGGGGAAATTAAGTCAAGTGAATTTCTTGAAACTACAGAGTAGTATTACTTGAATTTTTTCCCCAATTACTAATCTCTATTCCTCTCACTACTTCTTATGTCTACTTTTAAGAACATTCCTTATTAAATAATAAGGAATAGTATGTAATATGGATTCTTATAATTTTCACAATATCTCAAATGCACTCATAGTGGTGCCCAGTGTAAGGGAACCCTATGCCGATTTCCAGTTTAAATAATTATTCTTTAGTTTTTAGATGAATGAACCCAGAGTCTCCTGATGTTGGGTACCCCTAAAATATTCAATAAAGTATCAGATGAATAAATGATGGATCTGAATGTCCTTTCTAAAGTTTTACAATTGATTAGTTCTGTAATTTTAATACACAATATAGAATGGTTTAAAAACTATGCAAAAATAAGTACAAATTTGAAAGGATGTTTTCTCAGTTATGAAATAATGTAGGCTCATTAAATCATAAGTACTTTAACCTTTTCTTCAAAGAAGGGGAAGATTTTAAATTTATAAAAAAAAATTTGCCTAAACTGGGGAATGAGTCATATTTGATTTGTATTGAAATGATAATGCAGATTTCAATAGGCATTCTAAGAGCATTTGACTCTCAGGAGAGGAATTCAGCCATGGGTACCTATTTGCATTTAGATTTTAAACTTTCTTTGCAAGGCTTTTAATGTAATACTGCCTGCCAAAATCAGGCACAGTTTCATACATAAAGCAAACAAAGACAATTAAAAAGGGTTTTTTAAATCATTTTTGATACAAATCTATGCAACAAACATCTTTTTGGCATCTTTGGGGGGCAAGGGGGTGCTGGGGATTGAATTCAGGGCACTCAACCACCCCTCAAGGTCTCATTGAGTTGCTTAGGGCCTCACTTCTGCTGAGGCTGGCTTTGAACTTGCAATCCTCCTGCCTCAGCCTCCTGAGCCACTGGGATAACAGGCATGTGCCATTGAGCTCTGATCTTTTTGACATCTTTGCAGAATTCCTCTCTTTTGCAGTTTTTTATTTCCATATTTTTAACATTAAATCATGATTCCATTGCACTGGTCAATGCAATGAATGGACAACTTCAGGATATAGATAAACAAAATATACAATGGGTGCTCTGTTTGTTAACCCTTTAACAACTGGGAGGTGGACCTAAAACTGTCATGTGCTATAGGCAGGACTGATGTCAGACATGATCTACCCTTTGTGTGTCTTTTCCATCCTGTTGGCATGTAAATGCTGCTTCCTGCCAACTGTGTACACTCAACTCATATCCTCACTAAAATCTCTAAGTACCATGCGACTGAATAATACTTTGCCTAAGCCTTCTTAAAAATCAATTATAGTTACCTTTCTGCATTTATTTTACACTTTCTTCCTAAATATTTTAATGTACTGTTATGTCGATACATAGAAGATTTTCAGTTATAATCAGGCAAAACAAAGATGTGTGCAAAGTGTATTTAAACAGTGAAGAATGATATCTATGTCGAACTAATACTTAAAAGTCAAATAATAATGCTCACAACCTTCTGGGGAAGTCTTCTCACTACCTGGTTCAAGGCAAACATCCATATAAAAAATCAGAAATAAATTTCATAAAATTAAGTAGGTTGCAAAAGTCCTCTAATGTAAGTGGGGTGTTCATGGACCAGTGGGTGGGTGCCAGCAGAATAACGTACTACGAACTGTGGTATACAAAAATCTCTAGTTTAAAAGGCAAAGGGGTTTTGGCAGTATTAAGCCACTTGAGCACCCTGAAGAAATAAATAGAAATATTGTGCCTCTATTCCAGAGACTGTAAATACCAGACACCTCACAGCTCTCTCAGCCTTTAACAGTTTTTAAGGCTCATACAAACTATGGTTGACAACTAAAATAATAATATAACACCTTTTGAGTGCCTCAAGTGTAAAGTTCATTTGTTCTAAGGTCACCATTTTAATGTAGCAACCAAATTTTATTCACATCATCAGATGCTATCTGAGAAAGACAGCTGTAAGAATCAGGCAAAGGCTTGAACACTGACATGACTAATAAAATTAATACAGGATGCCAAGAGTTCTTACATGTTTTTCAGCAAAATAAAATATACTAACTAAACTAAGCAAAATTTACTGAATATATTATTACCATAAAGAAGATTGTCCTTAAGCTTCTGGGGAAGTTTTAATAGCAGGGTTTTTTTTTTTTTTTTTTTGAGGCGGGGAGGTCTGGTAGTTTATCAAGAGGATACCATTAGGTCATTGAAATATTTTTTTTCTTTGGTTGTCATTTACACATACCTGAAATCTAAAAGATGATTGCTCTGGATTTTGTGAGTGAAAAAGGAAGAGAGATCCCTGTGTTTAACCAAATGTTAAATGTTTTTTATTTAACTCACCTGCACACTAAGATGAATCCATTTCTTCAAAAGAATTCTCCCCAGTGTCATTACTTTTATTGGAGGCTGCAAACCACTTACTGTGCGATAATAAAACATGGTCTCTTTCCTGGATATTGTAAGTTTGAACACAATCTGCCCATCCCCCGTCTTTTCTATAACACACCTTAGGAAGCAACCAGAAAAGAGAGAAAAGGTCAGCCTCTAACCAAAAAGACATGCTAAGGCATTGTGCAGTTACAGTGATATTAATGTGACCCCAAATTCCATTCAAAATGGTACACTATGAATGAGTGCCTGTATGTCATTATATTCAAAGCAAGTTTTATTCCAATGAAGAAGCCATTTTATTTCAAGAAAAAAATACTATTCTTATTTACAATATATTCCCCAGAGCCTCAACACCCTTCATTAGAGATTCATGATGGAAACTAAAGTGGTTGAATCATTCTGCAAAACTAACATTTAGCCTATTGGCTCATTAGTTCCTCTGCTATTTCTTTTATAGGAAGTGGTACAACATACGACATCCCACTTGGGTATTGAGTCACCAGTGCAAATCTTTTTTTTTTCTTTTTTTTATGTAAAGAGAATTCAGTGTCCAAGAAAAGCTTGAAATTGTTAGCCCTGAAGTCAGAATCGCTCTATTTAATTCCCATGATGAAATGGAAAATGGACAGCTATAGTCTCTACTTACCCCATCATCAACTGGCCAGAAGCCAAAGCCAGTTCCTGTAAGATGTCTGACTACCTCTCCATGACATACAGCCCAACTGAGGCATTCAGAGAATATTAATGTTTTGGGGTGAATGGCCAATATTATAAGACTACAGTAAAATTTTTTAATAGAAGAAGTTTTGGAAAATGTCTAGCTATTGTGTTACACTAATTACCAAATTACTTATAAAAGTCACTTCTATACTCAAATGCAGTGACATGGCTCTGAAATTCTGAGTCTCTTTCTTCATCTGACTATTACCTACTCAGCCCCAGCATCTTTACAATTATGCCTGATCCTGGAACCCTCTTCCTCTCTTCAAGGTCATGTAAGAGTTCTCTCTTTGTGTTCATTTAACTCGCTATGCTAAGTAAAGGCAAGGACCCATTTATGTTCTCCATTAGATCACTAGTATCCTAGGGATAGAAGCATACCTGATATACACAGACCCTCAAAAAGTGATCAATTCTATAGGCATCCAAGAGGCAAGGTGATATTGGACCAACCAAGAATTACTGTTAAGGATGTTTTAAAACTTTCCTTAAAGAGTTCATCTTTTACAAATCATATCTTCTCATCTGCATCTATTTTTTTTTTTTTTGAAAGTTGGGAGATAACAAGATTGGAGAAGACTAATAGTCACTTTTTTACTGACACTAATAATTCAGCTTTGGTAATAACGATATGAGAGCAAGTACATTTTTAGTTTGGGCAAATAATTTTAGTGGACATAAAGGTTTTACATAAATCCTGCAAATTTTTTTTTCAACTCTTTGATAGTTGAATACTTCTAATTCTCTGGAATGCAAGAATGTCTCTGTATCCCCTGCCTCCAGGTCTTAAACAATCGAAGAAGAATTTGCCTCTGTTCATTTTTCTTGAGTTTAAATCTACAAGTGAGAATTTGATCATTACTCAAGAATGTATTTGCCAAATGCAGACTTATTTCCCCAAGCTTACTGAAAATGCATTTCTTAATATGTTATTGATTATCTTCCTTGCTATTTTGTTTGCTTGTAAACATACTAGCTTTGGTAGATAATAAATGTGAGAGGAAGGCAGGTAGCAAAATATTTAGGAACTGGATTTATTCTGCTCCTGGATAAACAATAATTGGATAATCCATGTTTTGTTTGTTTTACTTATCTAGTGCAAACACCCCGAAATTCCCCCAATTCCCACTGGTATTTTAGTTTAGAGAATGAAAACGACCTTGATAAAAGCAAGAAACTCTCAAAACCATAAACCATGCTACCACCTCTATAAATACACGTCTCATTTATACTAAACAATGCCAATAGAAGATGGATCTGGTAAAGTTATGTCCATTTAAACTTAGAAAAATTATTTTATCCTATCCCTATTTTTTCAAGGGAGCACAGTTTAAGACTGTGGATGCTAGTTACATAAATAGAGTATCTCGGATTTACTGCAATTTCCAATAATATGAAAACAAGGTTTTCTCCTAGGGGAGCTATAGAAATAAGGATAATGATTTGTGATTGTTTCCTCTGCAAATTTTAAAACAAAATGAAAACTGCAAACTTTCATTTAACAAATTAAAACTAAACACTCAAGACATTTAAGTCATATTTGCTTATGAGACTATAAGACTTTTCCTGGTTTCTTTCCCAAGTTTTTAGATTCAGCCAATACTTTCACACAAAGTAAGGGGAAAAAAAAGCCTTAGAACTATCCTACTTATTAAAAGTACATTGGCTCTATTTAAATAGAAACATCACTTATCAATTGAGAAAAGACTTCAGAATGAAAAACAGGTGATTAAATAAACTTACAAAAGATAGTAGTAAAGAAGTCTGTCTGAAACTTCTTTTGAAAGCATTGCTGCTGCAATGAATAGCTTTTACAATCTCTCACACTTACCTAGAAATTTATTAACTAATTGAAAAATGAAAACAGCATGAAGTAAAAGGCCAAAAGCTATATCTGTTCAGAGATGAAGTGTTATTCCTATCTTCAACTCATATTACTGAACATCCTTGAGTCAAACACCCTTCTTAGGAAAATAAGAATGAATAAAATAGTCCTAAGCCCTCAGAATGCTGCTATCTGCCTGATAAAAATTTCATGGCCTACTAGGCACACTTCATTTATATAAATTAGACCAGGACTTAAAAATATATCAATTATTTGTAGTGGCCATGCCTTAAAACTCACGCTGAGTCTCACAACGCCTCCAAAGGCTAAGACCAAAGGTATAGCTAACCTGCCCAGAAATAAGTGATTCAAGTATAAAAATGCCTACCTGCCTGCCTTGAAACTATTTTAACACATTTTTTTCATAGTCCACTTCATCCACAGAATAGAGAACACAATTTAGAAAAAAATATCTGGACTGTAAACTAGGAATAGAGATTAATATAGTAGTTTTCCTTCAATCATGTGAGTCCCATGGTGTTAGTCTTCATTTCTAGTTTGGACTGTAGGTTGCAATCATTTCCACTACTACTGATTTTGCAGGGTCCTAGGAAAATGGAAAACACACTACTACTTACATTACACCTTCTCGCTCAGGTTTCAGCCACACAGTGAATGTAAATGCTTCCACCAGCCTCGGAGAAGGAGGAGAAGAATAGCAATTCTTGTGATTTCCAAAAATAAAACTTGTAGAGTTGCTCTGGGAGTAAGGATGCAGATCATTCTTGTCTGGGATGAGACAGCTCCTGAGGCCTGCTGAGAACAGGGCAGTATACGTAGGGGAGGAAGATCGGTAGGGGCAACCCTGTGTGCAAAACCGCTGGGTACAGAACTGAATACTCTCAGCATCCACAGAGCTGTGACAGAAAGTGCTTCGGTGTGGGAGTCCACACACTGCTTGGGTTGGCACAAGTGCAACCTTCTTGAAAGCTCCTACATTCTCCAGCCTTGGGAAAAGACCCCGGGAGTCAGCCAACGATACTGAAGCAAAATAGGCAAAGATCAATGTTTCAATAACCTGAAACAAGATACCAAAGCCTAATGAAAGAGCCAGGCAATTCATGTTTACAAAAAAGCATTCTTCTCTTGAGAAGCCATTCCTAAATAAATAATCAGGCCCGCTCCGCTTGCCAGCGACACTTTGAAGCAGGTTCCTTTAAGTAGTGTTGAGATACTCCTCCATCTTGGGCAAATGGCAGGCTCGTTTTCACACGGAGATAAAACTAAAGACGTTCTTAGTGGTGGCCAAGACATGAGGAGGAGCTGGTGTCTAGGAATCAAAAACAGAGCATGTCAAGTGTAATCTGCTGAGTCTTTAAAACTTTATGTCATCCTAAGTATAAGGATTTTGAGCCCCTGATGGGAAACTCTGAAATTCTTCAAAAATATTTTTAAATCACTTTTCATAGAATAAAATAGTCATTCCTTTGATAAATATCTAGATTTTATTGAACAAATCAGGAACTTCAAAAGACCACAGGACAACCAGTTTGTTTATTTCTATGCAATCATTAATAATATATTTGAACATATAGCAACTTTAGGTTGTTACTCCACCCCGGGGCATTAGCACTGTCTACTGTATTTAATGAGGTAAAGAATTGTATAGATTTTCTTTACACATGCACCGTATGTTGTAACCCAGAGCTAACTTGCAGATGCCCAAAATAAAGCTAGCAAAGCAGTTTGGGCCTTTCCCCTTATCCCAGCATGTGCAGCAACTTTAAGCTTACAGTAAAGCTGATTAGAAATCTAACACCATCTGTCTGTCCTATGCCTTAATATTTAGCAAACATTTGTGTTAGTGTTTCCTCATATGACTACATATTTGTAGGTTAAATATGGATTCCTAATACTGTGTAAGTAATTGTATTGATAAATAAGCTGAGTTACCATTTCTTTATTGCATTTCAACCAGTCCACTGAATGTGACAAATGGCTCTTCAACAAGACCACGGTCCCTCGTTGCCTGGCAACACCACCATAAACCAGGTTGCTCTTAGGAAATAGGCCACAGCAGCAGAATGCTGGAAGGAAGACTTGGGTGCCCAGGTAAAGTATTCTGCACAGCAAACACTTAGTTACCTGAAAGTCACAGTGTCGTCTCCTTGGTGGCCCGTCAGGAACTGAGCTCCCCCAGGCTTTCAACTGGTAACTTCAAACAGGGGGAGGGACCAGGATGGTATCGTGCATGCATAATTTTAAAGTAGCAGCACACCTTATCCTATAATCCCCCTTTGGTCCCTTATCTCTTCTGTTTTCATACACCTCATCCATTTAATTCTTTAATCAAAACGATGTATCCCATCATAAACACTAATTTCTCATGCTCTTTCTTTTAGGGGATACAAACCAAATGAGATTCTAAACTCTATATTAATGCTCTAAAAGTTTAGTCCATTGAAGAAAGTTTTTCCTGACAACTCTGTCACTGTTGTTATTATATCTTTCACCCCAGGATACCCTCTTCTGAATACACAAACTTCTTAAGAGATAATATCAGATGTTCCTCATAATCTTAACTGTTGAGTTTGGAAAACAGGGATTTTCATTAACTATAGAAGCAATGAGATTGCTGAATTTAGCTGCCAAATTGCATTTGAATATGTATGTATTTATCCACTCATGGTTGTGGTCAGTTCTGCCCCCTTGGGTATCTCATTTTAGTTGAGAAATGCTCTAATTCAACAGATATTTCTAGCCTTCCATTTGGATCTTTAAAATGGAAAACCTGCTAGGGAAACAACTAGCCAATTGTTCAGAGAACTTGTTCTCTGTGAATTACTACATTTACAGCTAAACATATTATTAAATATAATAACTTATAGAGAACAAAGCCACAATATTAGAAATAAGAAATGTTCCTATGGTGTTTCTTGTTAGGCCTTCAGAAACAAACCAAATCATCTTCTCCCCAATTCCTTCTAATTTCTCTCCCATGAGCACATTCTAGCATTAGACTTTGTACCTTTTGTCAAAGTACACTAGTTCATTCTTGATTATTATATTCTTACAGGGACATTTTAAATTAAAAACAAATTTTACAATGAAACAAGCTAAAAAGTAAGGACTTCTAAGAATTTGGAAAAATATTTTTAAATAGATATAATATAGTGAATTAGACTATTCAGATATACTATTAAGACATGCAATCAACCTGTTTTCAAAAAAAAATTCTTCAGTGACTGACTTCATTCTTATAAGGACTGATTTTAGTTTTTAATTATTATGCTGTAGTATATCATTTTGGTCATTAGTCCAGGATAATTTTTTCATCATAGAACAACTACTATTTACTTTGTAGTATAAGTCATAACCCAAAATGGACAATCTAAGATGAACACCTCTGCTCCATATTAAGAGACTGTGGCTGTCATTTGCAAGAGAAGACAATAGATGGTCATATATCTCAACTTTTAAAACTTAGTACTATCAATCCTGAGAGCATCTGATATGTGAATTATGTACCAAGAGTTTCCTACCCCTGTAAATGCCTGAGAAATTAGAAAGAGGAAAAATAGAGCAAAAGTGCATATCAAAAAAATTAGTTAAGCATATGAAGCCATATGCCATCTTTTATTTATATTTCCATGGATTCAATGGGTAGTTCTTCTAGTTTGGACCAGCTTGGGTGGAGCTGTATGGTCTGATTTGGCCTTGCCATCTAGCAGATGGTTTGATGTCAATTGGATTGACAGCTATGGGAATCTACTCTAGGTTCATTCTGATAGTAGCAGAAATATTTGAAGGAACAGAAAATGAAAGCCCTTACATGCAAGTACTTTCCAAGCCTCCATGTGCATCATGTCTGCTAATGTTCTATTGACCACCGAAACTTGAAAGACCCAGCACAGATTCAAGGATTGTGAAATTGATTCCCTTTCTCAAAGAGGGAGTGGCAGTCACATTGCAAAGGGACACCAACAACAGGAATGGAGTTTGTGACCTTTTCTTTGAGTTGCTCACAACTTATTTTTATACTTGTAAAGGTATGATATCACAATCAGAATATCCTCATTGTGAAAAGTCAAGAAAATCATGTTTAACTTAAACAACAATAAGCAATTTCCCCCTCATTACTCTAGAAAAGCTTACATATAAACCTTTAATAAGTCTTGTAACAAGACTATAAGAATCTCAGTTCTTCAAGTATTTGAGATCTAACTCCTGTTTTTAGCCAAAATAAAGGAATAACCCTAATTCTTGGGCTTTTGGGAGTCACAGATTTACTATTAAAACTGACTAGTTTCTGCCATAATTAAGTAAGAAAAAAAATACCAATGGATGTATAATAAGTAATATTAGTTATACAATAGGGGCAGAACCTACACATGCAGTATGATTACAAATATAAGACAACATCGTAGACAATTTTATGACAATTAACTTGAATTCAACAAATTGGACAAGTTCCTGAAAACATTATCAAAGCTTATTGAAGAAACTGAAAACAATCCAAATGTCTTCCAACTACAGAATACATCAAAAAAAATTATACTATTTCCATACAATGTCTGACAACTATGAAATACATCAATAAATTATGGTATATACATACAATGATAAAACTTAATGAAAAGAATTGAACAAATGCTATAATCAGCAACACTAGTAAGTTGCACAGATTCGGCAGTGAGCAAAAGAAGTCAGATGTGCCAAGCACATGCTCCACAATTCCATTTATACAAAGTTAAGTTACAGGCAAATTAAAACTTTGGTTCCAGAGGTGAGATTGCGCTATCTCTTTAAGAGGAGCAAATGAGAATGGGTTTAAGGGAGTGTGCAGGAGTGCTGAGAACACTCTACATCCTGAGATGGGTAGCAGTGACACCTGGGGACACATTGGAAAACACCTGTCAAGCCATAACCTGGAGATTTGTGCACTTTATGCAAATTATACCTCAATAAAACAAAAAAAATTAATTAAGAAGAGGAAATAATATACATGAATTGTTTTATTTATTACATAAATAGTCTACAGTTAAATTTATACCTGCAAAAAAAAACCAAAAAACAAAAACAAAAAAAAAAAAAGGAGTTCAGAGTGTTGTAAATCAGTTATACATACATTCTGGGGAAACATAATTCTAATTTTAAAAAAATATTCTGTGAGTCAAATAAGAGACTATTTTCTAACTTATTTTATGAGGCTATTATAATCTCGATATATGTTTTTAAAAGATAGGAGAATGCAAAAAAGAAAATTGTGGACCCACTGAGCTCATGTACATAAGTGCCAAAAAAGAAAAAAATTCTCAATGACTCATCATAAGCAAACTGAATCCAGGAATATATAAAATGATTAAGTCTCCTGATCAGGTTGGATTTGCTTCAGATTTACAACGTGGGTTTATATTAGAAAATATATTCATGTAATTCCCCACAAAAAATTCACATAATTTAGTTAGTACCAAAATCCTGAATAAAGAAATTATTTATTGAGGACCAAAATATTAAACTAAAAAAAGAAAGAAACTTTGGAATGTTGACATCATTTATTTAAAAAAATTAACATCCCAAAATAATATTCATCCAATTATTTTTGTTAAAATCAAGAATAGAACAAGATCCCCCACTAGCACTGGTTTTATTTAACATTTTGGAAGCCAGTGAATTAAAATAAGGAAAATACTAAAAGATAAGTATGGGATAAGATTATTCAAATACTGCATGTCTCTCTGAATAACACCATCTAAAGACAAATAGTTGACCTAGGTGTCTAGGATGATGCACATATGACTCATGTTGTTTATCAGCTTTTTTTTCCCCTGGCACATCCTATTTGAGCATTTTCACATTATGGGTGACTATATGACTTGCTTTAGCTAATGAAATATGTGAAGTGACATGTGCCACTATCAGAGTAAAGCTACAAGTAGCAGCATACAATTTACTATGCTTTCTCTTTCACTAAATAAAATAAGGGTAGAGGGAAAAGTTAGGACATGGTTGGCAAGTTCAAATTTCAGAAAATGATCAACCAGTAAGGAAGATAGAGGGAGAGATACAGAAGCGAGTGGCAAATTTCTGAGCTGCTACTGAAAAAGACAGAAAGGAATAGGGCTGCCAGCCTTAACAGATTGCTTTTAAACAGAAGAGCAAGGTGAGCCACATCCTAGAATCAAAGAGGGAGAGACTAAGAGTCACACATTGAGACTGATGTGCTTTGGATGTATATCAAGACATATTTAATGAGGTGAGAAAATACAGAGTTTATTCTCTTTGCCACTCACACATTTTCTTTCTCTTTTAAAATTATACACATAATATATGAGCACTGTAAAAACTGAGTTAAAACGGAAGGCTTTGTGCAGCCATTACGCCTCTATTAGAATCTTGACCTTTTTCTGTAAACATGAAATGTGTGTAAATGCTACATAAAACAGATTCAATGTTCTGAAAAAAAAATTTTTGTAAAATGCTCCCAATTTTCAAACATTTTTACCCATTTTCTGTGACAATTTTCCCAACCAATGCCTTTTTTTTTTTTTAGCAAATCTTAAATTTCAAATAGCAAATGAAATCTCCTTTTTTCCTTGAAGGGCATTAATTCATACATAACTGTTTCTGAATTCTTGTTGACTAAGGTTGCTAATATAAAAAGGTACAGAAGACTATATTTAAGAAATGGTATGTGAGTAAAAGTGATGTGCAGCTTACAAGTGCAAGTTTAAATAGCCAGTGTAGGAGTGGCCCTTCTCCTTGGTGTGTGGATCACATTGAGAAGGATGATCTATCATCCAGGTCTTTGCATGACAATATTGAGAACATCCAGAAGACCTGCATGTCCCTCACCCATAACATGAGGGCGTTGTAGCATGTGTAACCATCAACCCGTGTGGTTCTCAGTCACTGAAATTTTAAGATCATTTGTTTTGACAATGTACGCTATTCTATGTGACAGTCAGGACCTGCTACATTTCCTTATATAACTACACCCAGTACACCCACATAAGGAAAATCAAAGATAATCCTGTCAAATGTACTTGGGAACAAGGTTTGATGCACCCAGTGGACACTAATCACCTAATCTGTATCCATTAAACACCTTGCCTTTGGTGTACTGGCAGGGATGATCTTGCAGATTTAAAGGGTCTATTGCAGGGCCCAACAGAGAGCTACTGTATC